CCTCTAACAATAATTCTTCCACCTTTGTGACGCAGACAATGAATTCCCTTTTGTTTGCAGTGAAATTGCTGCCTGAGCTCAACCCTCTTTCCTTTAGATCAGATTAAAATAGATCAAACACCTCAAGTTCTGCACATTCAAAAGCAAGATCTTTAGGCCCTAAATCAGGGGTTTTGTACCACTCTTCTAAATATTTTTCCACCTCCTTTTTCAACTCATGGATACTTTCAAGTAACTTGTGCTGTAAACAGAGGTAACACAACCTGTTTGGTCTTTGAGAACCTATTTTATACAGCATGTTATCATGCATCTCCATCCCTGGAGTCTTGTCTGCCCAGCATACTTAGCTTGTTCCCAAAGTGAGATCCACATACTTTGTTGCTCAACATACAACCTTATGTTTTAATTGTAAGTGTGATTTTGCCAGGGGTCTTAGGAGGCGGTTGCTTCCCATTAACCTGGACAAATGGGAAGTGAGCACCATGCTAGGAGAGACAGTCACACCTGCAGAGCCGTGAAGCACTCCTAACCACATTTCGGCGGAGTAAGACAGCCACGGACATCAGAAGGCAGTTGAATGTGGCATCCTAGCACGGGAAGCTCACCCAGTCTGGATTCCCAGGATGCTTTCATCTCCTCAGCAAAGGGTCTGGAGTATTTACACAGGACACGATCATTAGATGCTTCAGCTTCTACTCTCAAGCACGCTGTGCAGCTAGAGAGGGCCCTTTGGCCTTCTGTGGCTTTATGAGCAAAAGCTAACAGCGAAGCCTGTTACCATGGGGGAAATGCTGCCCAGCATGGTTGGTTCCCCCCATGGACAGTGGGACCTCACCCATGGAAAATTATAAATAGCACCAAACCCCAAAAATCCAGCTTAAACCCATGTTTTCCCCATGCAGCCTTGATTGTACCCCAGGGACTGACTCCAGGCAGAACTCACTAATATTGGAGCTCCACCTTGGGAACCCAGACTTCAGTCCTTGTCATGAACTGTGAGGTCTCATAGTTTCAATCCTTCCTTAGCATTTTTAAAGTCCATTTACATACAGGTAGAGTTCCATCTCTTTGTTCCCAGCCTCCTTCAAATCAGCCAACTTTACACCAGCGAAGCCTGTTGTAGGTGCCATAATGACAGCAGTCCTCCTCCAGTGTGGTGAGACATGAGGATACCCCAGAGCCAGCAGGGTCTCTGCTGTGCTGAAGGCTAGCCAGATGCTGGGCTTCATCAGCAGGAGCACAGCAAGCAGTGGTTAATCCCATCTTCATGGCACATCTGCAATGCTGTGAGACACTGACACACTGGAGCAAGTCCCGCAATGGGTTCTAAGATGGCTGTGGGTGGAGGACAAAGGGGAGTTAACTGCTGCCTGCTACTACCCAAAGTGGGGTTAGAGGGAAGATAGAGCCAGACTCCTCTCACAGGACCACAGAGAAGGGCCACAAGGCAAGGAGCAGAGGTTGCAACAAATCAACTTCCTATGGGACCCAGGGAAAAGCCTCTCCTGTGAGGGTGCCTAGGCAGTGGAACAGGTTTTCAGAGAGGCTGGAGAGCCTCCACAATTGGAGATGTGCAGGACTGGCCAGGCCCTGAGCAACCCAGTCTAGTTTGGGTCACCCTGCTGGGAGCAGAGGAATGGGGTAGAGACCCCACAGGTGCCTTCCCAGGGATCTTCCAATGATGCTGTGACTAACAAGTGGGTTTATTTGACTCTGCATTTTTCCTTCGTGGGCCAGTAGAAGAAGCTACCTTACAAAATGATGCAGGCTGCTACCTGCCTTGAGGTGCCAAATGAGGAGGGAATGGAAAGAACCAGCTCAGCTGCTACTACACTCTGAATTGCAGCCTGTCACACAGTCATGTTAATCCAGCATAAATGCATAGCATTGCAGAAAGGGGCAATCCCATCTTCCCTTTCGTCTCTCCTGCTGCCTCTCTTTTGTCAACACTGATGAGCAGCAGAGAATTGATCCAGCTGAAAACTAAACTATAGAGAAATAAATCCATTTCTATTCACAGTGAACCCTTTCAGTTTAAAAATGCACCATCTCCCTCCCTAGTGATTTTTGCTCAAAGCAAAGTGGTTGGGGATCACCAAATCAGAGACTATTCTTCTCAGGAGTATTCTGGAGCACTGCTATCCCCTTCCTTGCTGTGCCATCATCTGCAGGAACCTTCCCAGGGTTTGTATTCTTCTGCAAATGACTTCTCATAGCATTATATGTTCCTTCAGTTACACTTTACTTTATTATTTCTAGCTTTCTCACAAGGAAAGAAGTAACATATTCTTTACTAATAAGTAATTGCCTGTAGCTTCCAGAGCTCCAGTGTACCACAAGATATGGTCTCATGTTCTCCTGCCATCATGCACCATGAAAACACAACATGTGGGACAGATCTACTTTTCCACAGTTCCTGAGGACACATGCAGCTAAGCTTAGAGTCAGACCTCTGTGTTTGCTGTGTGATGCTCATCCCCCAGCGTCTGAAACAAGTTAAGGTGCCTCTTCTATGTCAGAGGGACCCATGATGCTGCCAAGAATAAGACATAGAGAGACACAGAGAAGATGTGAGCCCCTTGAGCAGAAGACACATCCTTCTGTGGCAACATTGCTTGGGGGGGGGGGGGAATTCTTGCTGTATTGTCAGTTGACAGCAACAGGAGTAATGGGGATCTGACCCTGGCGTATGTGGATCAGCCTCTCTTTTGGCACCCAGGAGACCATCAGTATTCCCCCATATCAGCTGCTGGAAGGTCTTACACCAGCAGACACAACCCATATCTGTTCTGGAGCTCCCCCAGGCGAAAACAGTTCTGCAGTGTCCCTGCAAGACTGCCAAGAGACTGGAAACTGAAAGCAGCCACTCTTTAGGAGTTTGTGTGTGATCTGTTGGGGTAACCCAGGCTCCCTGGTTTCTCTGGGTGTCCAGCATCCTTCTCCTAGCCTGTCCTGACATCACTCTTACCACCAGCCTTGGTGCTGACGCCTCTTTCAGAGGTCTTGTTTGCTGGCCATTTCTAGCAGTGCTTACATGCTTTCTGCACTGCCTCTGATGTCCAGCGCTGTCATCCAGCTCTGCAGCTGGCACTGGAGCTTCCAGACCTCCAGGGCCCAAAGGACCCTGCAGGGTCAGATCCTTTCTCTTCAGCTCCCCCTGGGAGAACCATGTTCTGGGAGTCCCACTCTCAGACCAAAGTTCAGCTCCTGTCAGAGTGCTCCTCACCCTCTTTCAGCCCATACCTGAGTCAAGGGAATCTCATAGGACCCCTCTGCTATTGCCCCAGTCACTCAGCAGCACACAACACATTGAATCAGTGCCTAACTCCTTCAGCTCTGTGTCAGGTCACTGGAACTGAGAGCTTTCTCCTCACAGTTCGCATGCTTCTCCCATCCCTTGCATGTGTTGGGCTCCTGGGTACATCTTTGCTCTTGAGAAAACTCACTGCAGCCCTGGGATGTCTGGGAGCCTATCACATATTTTTCCATTGGATTAAAAGCATGGCATGAATGCTGCAATGACAAGTCAAAATGTAACCTGGTTTGCTTGCATGGACTTTGGTAGTTGATCCACCTCACCCTCTGTGTTGCAAAACACAGAGGCTGTGACATCAAAGACATCCTGCGGCATCAAAGACTTCGCCTGAGTAGGTATTGGCCAAGGTACCGATATCCATCACCATCTCTGCAGGTAGATATCTAAAGAGCATCCCTTCTTTCTCCCCGGAAGGATCTGGAGGCCCTGTGAAAGAGAACACACTTCTATGCAGCTAATGCTGGCCAGATACAAGATGCTTAGCTGACAAATATGCCCATCAGTGCTGTAGATTAAATCGTTGGCTTGTTTTGGTTTTTTAGCTGCAATGCAGCCCCCAGCTTCAATGAGCATCCCCCAGTGTCGTTCCTGACTTTCTAATCCAGGTTTCTCTGGGATATTCTGCTGTCTGCTGAGGATTGTCATCCAAAGGTCACTCACCTTTTAACGCTGAAAAGAAACAAACAGGCTGCAGATTTGTCCAAAGACTCCATAAAGCCATGTTTCCATGGGGTTCTGGGAAGCAGGCCACCACTAGCCTCTCCTCAGCTCCACATCACAGACCTGTGGTGACTCAGGCACTTCCCATTCAGCAAATCCTCTAAAATAGACCTATTCAAAAGAGCTTCCCAGTAGGTGTCAGGCAGCCAGACACGCTTCCTCCTGCCAGCCCTTCTGCAGAGGCACATTGTGTTTTGCCCAGATCTACTGGAAGTTGTGAACTTTCTGTTTTCTGATCCTCTTCCCCTCACCCCTTGTTGGGATTTGTCACCTCAGATAAATGAGTCCCTCTCCTAAGACCACTCTGACGTGTGGTGTACCCTGGCCCTGGGAAGATAGCGTGCTGCTTCCAGGTACTGCAGAGGGACAGAAGTCTGGAGCAACTACTTCCTCCCGTGAGAAAGGAAACGTGTTTGGTGCCCACCCTGGGCTTAAAACTGAGCAGTTTCATAATCAGAATGGATCCCAGATTGGTGCCTCGGTAGAAACCATCGCAGCCTTTTGTGAGAGAAGACTGGCTTTCATTCCTCTACCTCAGGGGTGCTTTTCCACACGGTGCCTCTCACACAAAGCCTGCCACGTCTTGAGCATCAGCTCTTTCTGGTTCAGGGTTCTGCTGCTTGGCCCTTCCACAGCCACAAGGTGTTAACTTGAGAACCGCTGTATCTGTCCCAGTCACCCAGAGAAGGGCAGCTCTGCTCCTTCCCCTCTTTCTCTGAGCTTGGATCTCCCTGAGCTTCCCAGTCAGTGCCAAAAGTCTCGCAGCTCATCCCAGCCTGACCCCTGGGAACCTCACTGCCTCCCTAGGCACCTGCCCGGTGCTTTTGCTCACACCATGTCCCCTGCCAGACCTTCCCTTCTGTCTCCCTGGTTTCTGTTTGCAGTCCCTCGCCAAAAGTTATTTGTTATCTCTTATTAGTAAGTAACTACTTTTTGCCTGTTGTGTTTGCTTTAGCTCTGGGCAAACAGCAATCAGGACCTTTTGCATGAGGTCCTTTTGGTGGGTGCTCTACCTCAGGAACACCCAGACCAGCTGATCTCAAGCTGCATGGTCTGATAGCCCAGCCTTCAAGTCATAGCACGAGTTAAAGTCTGCAAATCAATTATAGAGCACCTCAAAATGTCAGCATAAAGCAGAAGATTGTGACTAACTTCAGACTGCTGCAAGGACTAAAATATGAAAGTGGAATCACTCAGAGAGAGACATGGTATCACAGAAATCTGGAAACAACGGAAAATTCCTTCAGCAAGATTAACTCAATGATTCTGCAGAATAGTGCTTTCTATTCCTACTTTTCTTGGTAAGTGTAATTTGCACACCCAAGACATGTCAAGACAGACAAGAAAAACAATGTATGAAGGTTGTGTGCGAGGTGACTGCTGCAGGTAAGTCTGGAACCTGGCTGAAGCTACCTAATGCCTAACACAGACAAGGGAGTATTTAGTGAGCTGGGCTGCTTCATCCCTGTCCTGCACTGCTCCTGTCATAGCCTGACCCTCCTTGCCCATGGCTCTGCTGGTGTCCCACACGTCCCTGTCAGCCCCTCTGCCCGGGGGACGCAGGCAGGCAGTTCTGAGAAGATGCCCTGGTGCTGCTCTTGCCCCGGTCACTGTTACTTCTGTGGCGGGTCCTGTTCTGGGAGATGACGAAAATGCCATTCGAGGGAGTCAGCATTTCAAATGGGTCGTTCGAACGTCACAGGTGTCTTTGCTAAAGATAGCCTGTGCTGAGTAAAATGGTACCTCCAAACCCTGCATTTCACAACACGCTCACTCAGCATAATAACCCCTCAGCCTAAGTGCCCCCCAGTGCCAGGCAGCTCCTGGCACCTCTCTGGGCTCTCCATCTGTCCTTTGTGACCGCCTCCTGGGAAGCAGCAGTAAGATGGGAATAAGTGTCTGTCCTTAACTGGTTCCTAGGAGAAAGCACTTCCTAGACAGGGATGAGGTGAAGGGTGGTTTTGGGGACTAGAAGGGAATAATGTCAGGGTGCTGAGGCTCAGAGTGAAGACTGGATCAGAATGGAGGGAGAGAGTAGTGAGTTCAGTGTGTCCCCTGAGTGAAGCTAGGGGAGGGGGAGCTCATGATGCTGGGCGGTGGAGCTGTATGTGCCTTCCCACCACGGTTCCATCTCCCTTCTCTCTCGTCTTCATTCACCCACACTCACACCACTCTCGCACTGCTGATTCAGGGGAAAGAGAGGTTGGTGCTTTCTGCTTGGACTGGCCACCACAAACTGTTTTTCTTGAAGAGGAGGAAAAAACACCTCCTGTTAACCGTCACAAGTTCTCCCCCATCTTCTCTCTTCCTCTCTCACACAATGCCATGGGCTGTGTAACAGAGGGGCACAAAGACCACTTCAGAGCAGTTCCCTGGGGACACAGAGGCACAAAAGGTTGCACCAGGTTCCTGTGCACCAATACAACTCTTCTGGGGGCTGAAGAGCTGAGTGTAATAAAAGAGATGAGAGCTGTCACCACAACAGGGGCTGCTGAAATGAGGTGTACCACTTGCTCTTTTATCCTCCACCTTCACCACCAGCTGAGGAAAGCTAGAGAGTGAGCAAGGATCCTTCCACAGTGAAGAAGTGCCTGCTCTGAGTCATGTCCCTTCCCTCACCCCCAGCCCACCCTCAGGGCATGAGCTGCCAAGGGGCTTGGTTGTATGACACCCGTCATGAAGGGCTGATTAAGTCTGAAAGAGCCAGAGTCAGTGGGTTGCTGGAAAGTGTGAGCCACAACAGTGGTGGGTTCTCTGAGGCAAAAGGGGCCCCCAGGCTGAGGCACATGGATGGAAATGTATTGCCCTATGCAAAGCTTATCAATCAGCTGCACGGGAGCTGGACTGAGCACCCTCAGAGCACAAGCTTGGGTGGGTTTTCCCCAGCGCTGCTGGATTAGGAGGGTCCCTTCCTCACCCCTCTCGCAGTGCTACAGCCTGCAGCCCCTCTTCTCACTGCCGGCTGCTTCTCCTGCTTCTCCTGTCTGCCCCCTCAGACCTTCTCAGCTTTGTCCTATATTGCTGCTGGGCTCAGGATTGATGGGTCACATGTGCTCTGGTTGGAGGTCACCACAGACTCTTTCCTCATACTGCTTGTGAAACTAGCACATTTGAAGGATTAAATGGAGGGAGAGGGAGGAAAAAACCCAAACACAACAAAAATAAAAGAAGAGCAGGAAAAAAGATGAGCGTGTTCTCAAAAGCCCTGAAACAATCAGTGAAAAGCTGAAAGAGGCGGAAAGATCAAACCAAAAAAGGTAAGAGATGAAAGAAAAACATGAAGGGCACTTGCTGGGAAGTGTCTTCTACACTTTTTCCACTGTCTATGTAGAAGCGAAACCTGTAAGAAAAACAACAGCGACCCAAAGAATTTCCACTCAAAGATGCTTAGAGCAGTGTCTCTGGTCCCTCTCTTACACTGGCTTCAGCTCTGCCCTCACGTGCCTCAGACTTTGTACTGGTTTCTTGGCCATGACGCATCTTCTTAGTGATATGGGGAAATCAGCTGCCCACCTGCAATATAAGGGCATCTAGGGGAATGCTTTGATCAGAAAGAGAGAGGCAGCAGAAGAGCAAGCACATCCAGCTGCCCCCCTTTGTTCATCCTCCCACTTCATCATCTCCTTTGCTTGTGCCTCATTTTTGCTGAGCTCTTAAAGCTTCCAACCTGACCAAGCACAGACCTGAGTGGGAAGACAAAGACCCTCGCATCTGCTGGATGCCGCCATGAGGCCCGTGTTCCCAGTGCTGTTCCTCACCTTCACTCTGCTGGCTTTCAATGGTGAGAGGGGCTGAATGTATCAGGGAGGGCAGAGTAGTTCAGTAAGCTGAATCTGGCTGTTCCTTGGTCTCTGACAGGTCTGGAAGGGAGGCAGTGCCCTTCTAACCCCAGTGAAGATAGGCAGATACTGCTCTCTGCTCCGTGAGTCCCACCCTTTGCTGAGCCCTCCATCTCATTGCAGCTGGCCACATCCTACCAGGAGAAGCAGAGGTGGGAAGCAGGAAGCAGAAAGTATGGGCCAGAGCGGGGAGTTCAGCCGTGCTGCCTTGCTACCTGAGCCACAGAAAGATGGGGAAGAGCTGGAAGCAACTGCCTGACAAGACATCTGTGCTTTGGAAGCGGCTTGGGGGAAGGTACGCCAGGGCCAGGACAGATCCGTGTCCTTGGGGGGGAACTGGGGAGGGTGTGAGAGACTTTTGGCCCCTGTTCTCCTTCCCCACATTCCTTCCTTCCTGCTCCCCCCTCCTTGATCTCACTGGTGCCTTCAGCACGAGCCACTCACTCGTCCCACCAGCAGCACCCACCAGGAGCCACACGTAGTGCTGGAGGTGGAGGACTCGGGGCTCAGGAAGACGGCGCTGCCCATGAGGCCCCGGGTGTCACTCCAGGACTCTGCCTTACGCAACGGCAACTTCTCCCTGCGCATCAGCCCGGTGCGGAGCGAGGATGCCGGGCTCTACGAGGCGTGGGTGATGCGCAACACCAAGGCGCAGAGCTGCCACGTGGAGCTGGAGGTCATCACAGGTAGGAGGAAATGGAAAACCTGGGGAACATTGGGTTTAGGAGTGGGGAGGTTGTAAGGGTGGGACGGGCAGGGGATGCCGTGTCTGCCAGAGCAGGGTAGAGAACAGGGAGCCGCCTCCTGGAAGAGCACAGCTTCCTGCTGTCTGCTTTCAGCTCTGGAGAAAGGGCTGCTTGAGGGACAAAGCTAGGGCACAAGGGGCAGTCCTAATGTGACCTCAGCTTCCCCCTCTGCCACTTGTTTTTTCTTACAGTAACCCTCAGTCCACCCAGCCCTGTGGTGGCAAATGAGCCGCTCCTGTTGCAGTGCAACTCCAGCCACCGTGCGAGCCTCGTGGAGACATGCTGGTTCCACAATGGGCGCCTGGTCCCCACCTCCAGGACCTTCTGCTCCTCGCATGGGGCTCTCTCCATCCTCCGGCCAACCATGAGCGATGCGGGCTCCTGGCGCTGCCAGCTCAGATACTCCGATAATGAGATCATTTCTGCCATGTACAACCTGCAAATTCTAGGTGAGCTCAGCCTCTGTGTTCCTGCTCCAGCATCCCCAGGTTGCTCAGTCTGATGTGACTGGCCAAACCCAGTGGCCTCAGCTTTCCAGCTCCCACCCCGTCCTCACCTCCCTTTGGAGCTCTTTCCAGCTACCACCCCACTTTGTCCTCTCTCTGGCTCAGGTTTTGAAGGCCCAGCCAACCCTGTGGTCTATGCTGCAGCTGGTTCTGCAGCTGATCTACCGTGCACCTTGAGCTACCTTCCCAGTGCCTTTGGGATCAATGTGGTGACAGCCCACTGGAGCCGCCTTGCAGGAGGACACTTGCAAGACCGGGGCATCTCCTACAATTCGAGCAGCAGAAGCTTCCCCCTTCATCTCCCTGCGGTGGGGCTGGGTGATGCAGGACAGTACCGCTGTGCTGTCTCTGTCAGCAGCAGGATGATCAGCAGGGATGTGACCCTGGCAGTGGTTACAGGTGAGGGGAGACAAAGGGAGGTGCATAACTCCTCAGGGGTCCCACGCTGCTTGCAGATAAACCTCCTCGCACGTCAGTGCGTGAGCATGGGTTGCTCCTGCTCGTAAGTTCCCACCCCAGGTTGGGAAACAAGTTCTCTGTTCAGGGCATTGCACTGCGCTGGACTCTGATGAAAGCAGGGGTTTTCCAGGGGAACTTGATTCTTCTTAAGACTGAGGAAGACAAAATAAATTAGATGGGGTAAAAAAGGAAGTGTGTTACAGAAGAAGGAGGGATAAGGAAGAGATGCCTGTAGATAAGGACTACCTGCCTGTAGTCCTTCCTAACGGTATTGCTTTCTCCTCTCCTGCAGTCACTCCAAGCATTCAAGGACCCGTTTCTGAGGGGAGTCACTTGCTGCTCATCTGCAGCCTCACACACCCTCAGGGACATGAACGTTTCCAGTGGAAGCAGCTTGACTCAGCCCCTACTAACAGCAAGCTGGCCAGGGCCACCTCCCATAACCTGCGGGGCCACAGATTCCAGATTGGCCCTACCTTGGAAATACCCCATGTGTCACAAAAGGATACGGGCACATGGGAATGCAGTGTGTATGGCCCAGAAGGCAGACTGGGAGCAGTGGAGTATGGGCTGCAGATCACAGGTACTGCTCCCCATGGATCCATAACAAAATCCTGTCTTCTCATCCTATTAATTCCCTAGTGCCCCTTCCTGTCTTGGCTTCACCCTGTCCAGCTTCACCCTGTGCTGTCCACTCTCCTCCTCTTTGGCTCCTTGGATCCCATCTTGCTGTTGTCTTGTCTTAGCTCTCACCAGTTCCTCCTGTTGCTGCTTCCAGTACCCTGCAGCCTCTTCCAGTTTGCCTGTCTTTCTGCAGACCCAGCCTTGCCCCAGTGCAAAATCAACCTTCCCCTCCTTCCTAACAGTGGTTGTTCCTTACAGGTGCCCAGGTCTCCAGCCCTCCCACCATCTTCAGTGGGCAGGTTACGTTTGGGCTCACACTCACCTTCTTCCTCCTGCTTATAGTCTGTGTCATGGCTCTGGCCCTACAAAAAAGGGTAAGTGTCCATTACCCCATTTCTGTTAGCTTTCCTGTACATCAGCCCTTATTTGACCTTATCCTTGTTTGACCTTACCCTGGGTGCCCTAGAGACAGCAGTAAAATGTCTCAGGGGCACAGCAGCCAGAGGAAGAATGGGAATCAGGCAGCCTCTGAAGATGTCATGGACATGAAGCAAAAGCTGTATCCTGGGCACCAGTAGGTCTGACTAACCATAGCATTCATCTGGGGGATGTCAGACACTTCAGAGGAAGATTAAACCCCCCTAGAGGACAATCACAGCCCAGCCTTGAAAAGTCTCTTGTTTATTCTCCCAGAGATCAAGCCATGCTGTAATAGAGCAGGGTTAATTTCCAGGCTTTTGTAGGTGTCCTTTCTTATTCCTTATCTGGATACTTTGATGTAACAGTCTCCTGTTCTGTATAAATGCCTGCTGGTCCCCTGATGCTGATCTCGATGCTGGTCTGTTGTGGCTGGCTCAGACCTCACACCTGGGCTGTCTGCTGCCTTAATTTGATCAGCTTGTTCCAGTATCTTGTCTCCTGAAAACTCTGCCTTGCCTTTATGATCCCAGAGACCAGACCAGGACTGATCCCTCCCCAGCACGTCACTGGAAAAAGAACGTGTTCCCTGAAAATCATTTACACATCAAATTCTTCCTTTAGGGTTTCCCTTTACTGACCAAGGACTCTTTTGCAGAGTAGCTGTGATGTAGTTGCCTTCTACTTAGCTTCTTGGAAAGGGCCCACAGTGAAAATCCCCTTCCAGTGCAGAAGGGGCTGTATTGATTGCCTGTGTGTCACCAGACACTTTACTGCTATCGGGGGCCCTGGGATCTACCTCTTTTCCATTGTCTAGGAAGTTACTTGTTAAAGCAAGATGTGAAAGTGGGTCTGTCTTCCGTTTGTTTTCACCTCATTTTGCAGGAACCTTCATACCTTTAATTATTCTCTCTGAAAAAAAGTGTTGTAAAATCAGGCATCCCATAGAACCTGGCAATGGCCTGACCATTGCCCACAGCATTTTTTGCTCTCTCTTGGGCATGTCCTGTCTTTGTTATTCCTTATACCTATGACACCACAGAGGATAGTGTTGAACCAGCCTTTCCCAGAAGAAACTGCATGTCTCAGAGAGTGGGACTGGGGCTCTTCCCTGACTGTAGGAGGGAACAAGAGCCTCGTGGTTGCAAGCAGCAGGACCACATCTTCCATGGCAGCCCAGACTTGTGCCATTCAGTCTCTCTTCCATGCTTGATATTGCCTTTTTCTTCCCTTTCAGGCACGGTCTCCTGCCTTCCCTGCGCTGGATGGGATGATTGCAATTGCTATGCCGAGGAAGAAGGAGGTGGAGGAAAACCAGAAAGAGAACATCCAGCAAACTGAGTGCTGATGGCAGCAGGGACCAGTCTGCATGGGAGGATGAAACTCTGTGTGCCATGCTGCAGAGAGATGGACACTATGCAGACCTCTCAGGAGGGTCTAGGGATGGCGTGATGATAGCAGGAAGCTGTGGGAGATCTGTACCTGCAAAAGGGCTGGAAGCTGCATATGAGGGCAAAACACGACTCATCTCTGCAGCAGCACAGATGCTTTGGAGCTATTGGGAGTATTCGAGCCGGTAGCTATTGCCTACTCCAGTGACACCTCCCTCTCCCACCCTTTGCCCCTCCTTCATGGCCTCTCTCACAGCCTTTTAGTGGTGGGACACTTGGACCCAGGAGATAGCTGGAACCCAGCTCCCTTGCAGCCCAATGGTGCTTTCTACACACACACACCTCACACACACACACACCCCCCCCTGCTTTCTTCTCCCTCTCCCCACCCTGCCCTGCTCTAGCTCTCATTCAGGGGCAAAGGGGACCCCACAGAGAATGGCACGTGTTGCACATTTTGAACGCTTTATTTTATTAGAAACTCATTTTAGAAACTAAAATAAACCTGCCTGACCAAAACACCTGCTGTCCCCTGCGTGTGCCTGGGGAGGATTGTGCCTGGTGCTGGTGCCGGGTGTACCAATGCCCTGTGGGAAGCAGCTTCTAAGGACTTTCCTGCCTTCTCTATCTCTTTCAGCTCTGTGTTATTGAAGTTGCCTGTTCATTTCTGACATTTTCACAGTAGGGAAGGGGAAATTGAATGCCACTAGAGAAGAAGAAATCACAAGTTAAAGCTCCTCTTTGCTGTGTTTCAGAGTCTTTTGGTTTTTCTCCTGCCTGGCTGTCACTGTTGATTCATTTCTTCCTTTAGCCCTCACATTTTCCTGGTAGATCTTCAGTTGATGTTATGGGTCTCTGTCACTCTCCTCCTGCTACGGATATACTTAGTAAGCATGAATCCACCAGGCCCCATCTTTCAAGACCCCCAATGTGTTTAGGTTTCATGTAGGTAGAGAATGTTCTTCAACTCCTCTCCAAACAGCCATGGAGGACTGCAGTCACTGCATGCCACCCCAGAGGAAGCCTCACTAGTAAAGAGAGTGACACAAGTAGTTTCTTCCATATGGGTCCTTAAGCTGTGGCTGCTTAGGGAGGTGGTGGTACAAAAGCTGATCTCTCAGTGTTTAGGATGGAAGATTCACTTGACTTGAGTAGAGGGCTTCACTGCCAAGCCAGCTTTTCATTATTTCAGCAGGCACATGAAGAGGCCTTCTTGCTCTGTGGCTCTCACCTTTCTCCCCAAAGAGCTGGGGGAGACAGGTACTCAGGTCCTTCAGGCACACAGGTATTGAATGCGCTCAGGGATCCTCATACTGCAAGTAGTGGAGCAGCACCCAAAAAGTCACAAGTAGCGCACTCTGTGGAGCATGTCTGGACTCTGCAGTGATTTAGCTATCCAGCTATTCACATCTTTTACTGAAAATGATACCCATTTCTCCACTGAGTCCTAGAGAAACGCAGCAGAGGTGTGAGGTAGACTTGTCTGCTTCAACTGTCCCACACAGCCACTGAAACAGAGCCAACACAAGGCAGGACAGTCCAGCATGGCACCAGGCAAATGATAACGCTGCAACTGTTTTCAGGTTGGGGTGATCTGTGTAGCTCAGTCTCCTCTCTCTGCCAGATGCTTTGGAGGTAGAGAAAAGGTGGGTTAAGCCCAGCAGGGCTAAGGAGCAATCCAATATTCAGCAGGACCACATCATGTTCTCCCAGTGCCTGTTGACAGTGGTTTGCTCTCTCTTCTCATACACAATGGGATGCTCTCTCTCCTCCTGTAGGTAATAGTGTTAGCATTGCCTGTTACCAGCCTGGATGTTCTCATTGCTCAGATGTGTGCCTGGTCTGTCTTTAAACTTCAGTGTTTTCTTGTAGTCTCTGACTTCCTCTGGCAATCAGTCCTCAGGTCAGCTTACTCACTGTGTGAAAACAGTTCCTCTTTATCAGCTTTGAATTCAAAGCTTTCTGCTTTCATCATCTACTTTCTCCTGTCACAAAGGCTGGAAGAAGAGGGACTCCTAATCTGTCATCCCTTAACCAGTCACTATTCTACTGCCTTTTATCACACCCATTTTTTCTACCTTCCCCATCCTCTCCTGACTCATTGCCTTTCAGGTACAAATCCCAGATTTTGGGGACTTTCTCCCTTACAGTTTGCTCAGGCCTATCTCTATGCATGGTCAACTCTCTTTGGATCCTTTGCTCTGGGGCTCTTGCCTGATCTGGTACAGTAACAGTAAGCCAAAGCCTAGAAATATTTATGCAGTTCACATTTTCCCTCCAGCTACATGATTTTGGGAACAGTGATGCTGAATTCCATTTGCCTTCCTGTTGCTGATGAGCACAGCTTGCTTCCATTTCTCCAAAGCTCTTGACATTTTCTCGTCTTCTAACAAATTCAAACAGCTTCATGTTGTCTACATACTTGGTCTTCTTGCTGCTTCCCTCCTTGAACACTAGAAACTCATGCCTTAATTCAGACTCTCTTGAGCCCCATTGCAGTTATGTTTGGTTATGCTGCAAGACCTGCGTATGCAGGAGGCACAATCATCATAATACCAGTAGTAGTTCCTGAAAATACTGTCTTTGTAATAGAGAGAACAACGGTGTCTGAGGTGTATAATCTGTGTGGCACTATCATCTACAAAGGCCACGAGGCCTCAGATATGGTTGAGTATAAATACAAATTCCACCAGCTCTGTCTGAAGTACTGAGAATGACATCTGAAGCTTCACAGATGTTGAGACTTGCTTTTGTAACCAGCAGAGCACTTTGTGCAGATGAGCATCACTGACAAAATACAGGCACCAACAAAAGCCACAAGCACGGCCATTGAGCTGCTTTGAATGACAGACCTCAAGGAAATCTGAATCAGGATGGCATGAGGGAAATCAGGAGAGTTGAAGTGGAAGGAGCAAGAGTCTGCACAATAAAGCAAACAAATCTGGAATTCTGTCCCAAGTGCAGTCAATAAGTAGGAACAGCAAATAAAGAGCAAATAAAGCAAATGTCATGCGAAGGAAAGAGACTGGATGCTTTTCCACAAAGATACAGCTGCAGGTGCAAAAATCATAGATAAATATTGCCAATGGTCCAGCATTCTGGATGTGTGTCCACAAGCCACTCTATCACTCCTCTCCTCAGCTGCACAGGGGAGAGAAAACAGAATGAAAGCCTCATGGGCTGAGATAGGGACAGAGAGAGACACTCACCAGGTGCCATCATGGGCAAACCAGACTCCATTTGGAGAAAATATATGTAATTTATTACCAGTAAAATCAGAGTTGGATCATGAGAAATCAAACCAAGTCTTAAAACACTTCCCCCCATCCCTCCCTGCTTTCCAGGCTCAGCTTCACTCCATCACAGCAGTTTGGAGGGATGGGGAATGGGGGTTATGGTCAGTTCACCACAGGTTGTCTCTGCCCCTTTCACTCCTCAAGGGAGGACTCCTCACACCCTTCCCTTGCTCCAGCGTGGGGTCCCTCACACAGGAGACAGTTCTACATTAACTTCTCCTACATGAGTCTTTCCCACGGGCTGCAGTTCTTCATGAACTGCTCCAGTGTGGGTCCCTTCCACGGGGTGCATCCTTCAGGAACAGGCTTTAATCTTTAATCCCAAATTAATCTCTTGTTGTAAAAAAAACCCCAATACTGTCAGAAAGAAAATAATCAGAACTAGGTCCAGCTGTTCTGCGTCCAAGATTTCTGAGGGATTTCAAGTGAGAGGCCAAGGAAGTGCCAGCGAATAGTGTAATCTGACGAGAAGCAACTAGAAACCACTCATTTGTTGTGGTGTTGGCATGTTGGGCACAACCTTTAAGAAATAATAAGAAATTGGAACCAGATCTGGAATTCTCTAGGCCATGGAGGCACTCTGATTTCTTACCTGCCTGGCAAACTGGTAGGAAGATTATCAGAACCAATTCTGCCAAGAAACCTCCCACGCCTTACTGTTCTACTTGGATTTCCTCAACACTTCGATGCAGCAATGAAGAAACCCAAAATATGTGGGGTCCTGCATTTTTGCCTTCCAAAGTTTCCCTCAAACCAGCCTCCTCATGGGAATCCTGGTTTAGGACCTACATTTTTTGCCACCCACTGAGATTCAAGGCATCTGGGACAGTAATTACATAGCTGTTGGCTCCATCATGTTCAAGAGCTCCTACTCCTAGGTTTCCACCTTGCTGGACTGCCAGTTCAATGCAACTGGCTCCAAAAGCTGTGTACTCTGACACGGATGTCATTCCACCTGAAGGGATAGGTTTCAGAGGGTCTTGCAGGAAGAGGACATAGGACACTCTCAGTGTGTAGGAGGTGAATGCACAAGGGCAGCTTTTGGAAGGACTTGTTTATTTGCATTCTGATAGAGGTTCCTCTTCGTTTACAAACACTGGGTGTCTTCCTCTCTGGTCACCAGGTCAGCACCCCCTGTTTTCCTGGAACGTCGAGGAGGAGGCACCAGCGGATCCCTACCAAGCTGCAGTAGCTGCAGGAGCTCATCGGGGACCCACCGGTCAGACGCTCTCAGCCTTTCGAAACCTGCTCCCTGGTGAGCGCAGGACGGATGGACGACCCCCCCCCCCCCCCCCCCCCCAACCCCTGGTATCCCGCATCCCAAAGCCCCGTTTGCCCGCTGTCAAAGCCTTGTGTCCCCATCACCAACGGGTGATGCGGGTTGCGAGGCGACCTGGGCTGCGGGGCGATGGCGGGGGGCAGCCCAGTGGGGCACGGCTGGGGCTGGTCGGCCCTCGCCCCTCTCCCCTCACCGTCGCTCAGCGCCTTCGTCTCCCTGGGCCAGGTTTGTGCCGCCATCTAGTGTCCATGAAGGACAGGAATTCCCCCGCCCTCGCGCTTGCATTATCGGGAGCATCCATCATCTGCTCCTCCTGCGCTGCGAGCCCCGTGACTCAGCTCTCCAATGACCGGCGGATGCGCCCGCGGCCTCTTTTCCCTTTGCTTTCAGCCTAAGGAAGTAAAAGCGAAAATACTTATAATTACCACGCAGAAGCAAACCCTGATGGCGTGTGCTGTTGAATCACACCCCACATCAATGCTCCAAGCCTCAAGCTGCTTCCAGCATGATAGTTCAGATCCTCTGTACGGATGAAAACTCTCCAGTTGTGCATCATAACAAATACTGACACCAACTCTTCCCCCTTCTTTTTGCCAAAGCAATTTATAATCATAGAATCACAGCCTGGGTTGGGTTGGGAGGCAGCTTAAAGCCCATCCAGTTCCAACTCCTTGCCACAGGCAGGGGACACCTTCCGCTAGACCAGGTTGCTCCAAGCCCTGTCCAACCTGGCCTTGAACACTGCCAGAGATGGGGCAGC